GGGGGGGGGGGGGGGGGGGTGAAGTGCCATGGCTGCTGCAGGCAGCGGTGGGTGTGCCAGCCCTGATTTTCATGTCACCAGCTGCCTGGTGGGACCATGGCACCATATGTTGCTGACTGCGCGTCAAAATGTGCCTGCACGTGCGCCCCGCTGCTGGCGGCAGTCACCTTTGTAGACGCGCTTCCACGCGCCTCTGCCCAGGAGCAGGGGGTACTGCGCGGGGAGCGCGGGCATGTTATACATCAACATATATTGTTTCAACCCATTTGTTCCCCCGGGTGCTTACCCTGAGGTACCGGCACGAAGGGTCAGTTTCACATGGCTTGGAAGGGTCTTCCAGACCAGTCGCAGCCAGAAAATTCATATTTAAAGCAATTTCTTCCGTATTTTAGCTGCTGGAGCGCCGTGGGACGCGCAGAGCAGTGCTGGGCATTCCCAGGCACGGCGAAGGGTCTTATACAGTGGACCGCATGAGTTTAATCGTCCATGTATTATCGCATCGCGCCATCATAGAGCACTACAAGACGTGTTTCTTCCAGGTATCCGTCTAAGTGCCACGTCCATTGCTATGAATCGGAGTGTGGCGGCCACAGCACTCCAAGGCGGCCTCTGCGCATGCTATGAATACTAGATACCAGGTTAGTATGACTTGAAGCTGGCAGTGGAGCACACCATGAACCGCAATAGCTGCCCAGGGGCAAACCTCCTTGCAACCACCTCCTGCCAGCCCAGCTCCCAGCCGTGCTGGACCATACCGTAGGGTTGGGCACACGTGCCCAAGGCGTAATGCCAAAGGGTGCTCTGATAAGCTTGTGCAACATCTATTTATATTAGTTGTAAATGCGCGCAGAAGTATCTGATGACCCAACAGGTCCTCAACCTGCTGCGTGGTGCTACGGCACATCGAGCTGTCATCCAGCACCTGCTGCGGAGGCGATAGAGGCATACGGAACTGTCAAAGTACAGCAGCACAATGCAAGCCTTTGCTGACCTGGCATATCAGCAGCCAAAGTGGCTGGTTGTCAAGCTCTGTATATTCTATCCCTTCCCCTGCCCCTTGATGTCAGGTCCCTGCATGTCAATACCAGATGTGGTCATCACACAAACGAACTAAATATGCCGATGTGTAGCAGTTGATGTTTCCATCCGGTCTTTGCATGGGTATGCATACTCCACCTTGCTGTTTGCCGACAGGTTTCAACTCCAGCCACCCGGCTCATCAGCAGTGGGGTCGCAGGGCCCTTTGTGATCAGGCTGTCGCCGTTGCATCAATGCACATAGCCGGCTTTCCCTTGTGAAGCAAGCATGCTGTGGTGCTGCTGCTTGGGCTTCGCTGCTTGACGTGGGCAGCATACTGCAGTTGATGATGATGCTGACGCCGCGCCTGTCGTGTCCCGAAGCTGCGCTAGACCGATGACCTCAATTTCAGCAAAGGCCGTAGACCGGCATTTTGATTGACCCTCTGTTGATTTGCAAAACAATATACCAAGCCACCAGCGCATACGGCAGTGAAATCGCAAACCACCGAGGTGATCCTGTGATCGAAGTCAGCGGTCTTGAGCTGGTGCAGCAAAGAAGATTTGCAGAAATCTAATTGAAACTCAACGCTTCAACCGGGTCCACGACTGCATTGGCCAGCCCACGAACGACCCGGTGCGTCAAGGCAACCGCGCTGCCGCGGTGCCCTGTTCCGACCTGTATGCAAATTGAAAATGTTCTATAGCTTTTGTGGTCCTCTCCGTGCCGCGCCTGCGCCGTCTTGACGCAGCGACTCATCCAATAATCCAACCACGAGCGCCGGCAGCAA